AGGCAGGTAGTGGGTAGAAGAAAGCCAAGATTGGTCAACCTTAGAATTGGCACGAGGGTATGAAAACACTAACCAGGTGACTGGGTCACATAGGTCCCGTTAGACTCCCTGACTGGGAAGCCCGAGATCGTGGTCACCGGTGGTTAGCGACACTGAGCGATATGGCTGGGTGTCGCAAACAGTGACGCTTATGCATCTGCTCATTATTCTTGCAACACCAGTCTATACGAATTCCCCATCTTCTGCTTGAATTTGCTCTCTCAATATTCTAATCTCCATTCTGCTCTTTTATGCGACTGGGCGACCAAAAGACAGCAACCGAGAACGCCGAACGAAAGTGTATGGTTAGTGGTTGTAAAAAACTGAAAACTGCTATCCAATCATTCGTGGGCGGTAGTGTGTCCACATTCGGTCGTCAAAGGAACCAAATCGCGGCGGACTGGGGATAACCATTTGGTCAAAACTGTATCGCTTATACAAGATGTTCATTTTTCGTTTTCTTCTTTTCTATTCTCAGCTTCGTACAAACTCCATGCTGTAAATCCGAAGAGGACCGCTTCTCACTTCCCGTCCAACTTTTGCTGTGCACACACGGTCCGAATTAGTGTGTCCTGTGTGCAGATGGACAGAAAACCATTCCCGGACAGAGAGACTTGGAGAACGAGATTGATTGAAATAATCCACCTCGTGAATCTGTGGTGTTATTTTTCGGGAGTTCAAGAGATCATGGAATTTTGACAAATTCATCGAGTTTCGACTGTTAACTGTTAAGTGTTGTTCTGCAGTCCAATATGCTAGAATCCAATCCAATCCATTGATAACTTCCTTCAGGCATAGACAGTTCTGCTGTTATCAGGCCACGTAACCGCGTTTAGTTTTCTTTCCATTTGTATGATTCACTAAACGAATTTCAATGCCCAGGTTCCCAATTACCTAGGCTACATATAGCAGAACTTCACACACCACACAGGTTTATCTTTCAATGGCATGCGGCGCAATATACGACGGGAACACAACCATACAAAGGGAGCAGCAAATAAATACGACCGAGTTTATTCAATGAAAGGTGCCACACATGCCATACAACATACGGACCTCAGAATCCATTCGATTTGAACAACTATATAATGATTTAATCAGCAACCAGGGTGAGCTGATTTTTTTTAATTTGATGTTCCACCACTGCATGCCTGTGGGTGATTGGGGAGAGGGTGAAATTTACGGGATAAAATACAACTGCATCATGCAGACAGACAGCCCTGCATGACGACCAAGAGGTTTACCATCGAAACGATGCAGAGTGCGTAACTCACGGGTCACGCAATTTGCGGAACGAACAGAAAAAGGAGAGGGGTAGCGGTTGCAGTAATCCCTGCCCCAAAAGCAATGCGAATCGTGAAAATGTAGTGAACAGTACCACATTTAACAAAACTTCGCTAGCAAAAATCCCACAGGTCTCTCTTGTAGTGACCAACCAAATCCCATGCTACATGTACCCGTCCTCCTGTTCATCTCATTGGTTCATCACACCAAGGCCACCTGTTTGGTCAGCACTTGTTTGATTTTACTTCCCGCACGCTTGTTCACGCTTTTGCATCTCTGCCTCTTTGCTCTGCAGGTAGTGACAATACAACCCGTCCTCCGTTTCGTGAATCACATCGTTCCGTTTTCGTACGGACGTCCGTTTGCGGCATAGACGTATTAACTCGGGATATTGATAAGCCAGTGCCTATACCCTCGATTAAGCAACAGAGTAAGTAAATTAAAAAACCGATTGCACTTTCTATGCAAGTCCGAAACTTGATTACGCATACTGGTGAACTCAGTCAAGCTTTACTAACATCTTGATACCGCTTATTACGTTGGCAAAGAAACACATTAGGAAGAAGCGGAACACACTCCATTACGAACTGATCGTTATGTCAGAAATGCATCATTCTCACAGATAAAAAGTCCCACGCGCGTCTCACCAGTCAAAACGAACGGAGTAATCCAGTAGTTCGTTTACTACAATCAATCGTTATTTCATACGCTTCAATCGGCGTGTCCCAAAAAACCGGCGGGCATAGGAAAACAGCAAGATATTTGTACATGTGATGAGACGGAAGAGAGTAGCCAAAGCAACAGAGCCCGGATTCAAATAAGCAGGTCGACCAGATACCCCTGAGACACTGGCATGTCTGGGAAGAGATTTAAAGCGACAACAACAAAAAACAATGACAAAATCAGATTATCAGTCATCATCCTCATCGTCATCGTCATCATCTTCGGATTCGGCTTCACGAAGCCACGAGAAGAATGGTTTCAATTTTTCCCGTAACAGTTTCGTTCGCTCGGCCAGGTCCTCGTCCGACAACAGGGGCGAGTGATCAGACCACCACCAAATCGCCTCCTCTGTTATCAGATCCGCGTCGTACATCGCATGCATCAGATACGGGCTGGCTTCCATGAGTAACGGGTTATAACATGCGCTGTCTTCCAACGCTTGTAAACACATACGACTGGCCTGTGTAGACTGACCAAAATAGGCATGCAGCACAACCTCGAAACGAGTCAGTTGTGTTTTGAACTCGGTTACGAATGCGCGGACTGATTCTTTATCCACTTTATTAGGTGAATCAGACGTGGGACACTTCGTCCTTGTCACATCCAGAATGGCTTTTGTTAACAAAAAGTATAAATCGTCAATCATGATATTGTACGCATGTTTTAGAGAATTCACTTCCAAGATCACGTTCTCAGCTGCCGAATCTCCACCTTGACTATGCTCCAGCGTGTGACGTATTTCGCCCACAAGGAATGCTTCTGATTGTTCTTCGTCCTCACTAGGACCAGACAGTCGATCGGCGTCAGTGCCTGCAGTAGAAACCGTTCGGCCGGATTTTCGTGTCATTTTACCGCTGGGGCGTCGTTGATGTGACACAGCAGTCTCACTGGTACTACTCTGGCCCCGAGCTCGGGTGTGCGATTGGCGCCATTTGGCGAGGTTTGAGCGGATGCGATCTTCGGCAGTATCCCACAGAATACACGAGTTAGACGACCGCTGATAAGGAGAGACCGATAGTTCATCAGAACTGCCATCAGAGTAGTCGTCCAGAGATGCCTAGAGTTCAAGTAAAGAAATGAACGGAGCAGTCTTATAATCAGAATCGTAACAATGAATTTTGAAGAAAAAATGAGCGAGAGTATACTATTCCATTTAACAATATCTACCTGCACAGGAGGCACTTTTGATTATTTGAAATTAAACGTCAATACCCTATTTTTACCATCATTGAGCACCGGGCGAATTGTGGCGAGGGTTATAAGAGAACACCGGAAAATACTCTTCACTCTCCCACTCGTATTAAGGTCCATTCGAATCAGACTGATAGTATTTCTAGAAATGCGCACTGAAGTCAATTGACTTTGTGATCAAGACCGTCGACTGCAGACCTTGACGCGCACAGAGGGCACATTCAATGAACCCGATGCAATAAACATTCACATTCGTCTCGAAGTAGCGATGCAGGATAAGTGATGGTGAGTTGGACAAACCACCCTTTCGACTCCCGATGAGAAGGATCAGCCAAGTGAAGTACTTCGGTATCACACTTGAAAGTAAACTTCGCTGGTCTTTACATACCCAAACTGTCGCTAGTAAGCTGGAAGTTCTCTCCTTTCAGATAAGAAGATTACGTCATCTCTGTTCTGAGTTATCGACAAGGAGGCTTTTGTCAAACAATGTGTTCTTCCCATACCCTTTTAATGCTCTCCTGCGATTTTCCCTGGTTTGCTGAAGGTTGATATCAGGCAGCTGAGGTGTGACCTCTCAATGATTAGCAATGTTTCCCAGGTTCCGCTGTCTGTTCAGATAAACAATATTTGTGATGCCCATTTTGTGAGCGTGACCTCTTTTTGGCTGAAAGCTTGTGTATAACTCGCTATACTTTCAATATAATACAATACAATCTTCATGCACAATCATCAGAAGTGAATCAACGCAAACCTGGAACGCGGGATGGGGCTGATCAGGTGTGTCTCAAACATGATGATAGTAGAACGGATCTCAAATGAACGTTAAAGATTAGGTTTATGCGGAAACAATCAGAGGAAGCATGACGACAGCCAATCGGCCTCGGTGACTTGGTATATTGCCTGATTCAGAACATTGGAGGGATAGCGAGGGGCTGCATCTGGTTAGTCCGCTAATTGTAGCTTTAACTGATTAAATGAAACCTGCTCACTTTGTAGGATGATTGTTTGACCCTTATCTACTCATTGGCCCGTCAGGTCAGTGAGTTAAGTTCACTGGACTTCATTTAGGCTACCACTTAGCGAGGGAGATATACCGCTGCAGACCGAATTCCTTCGAAAAAGTCAACAGTGCAATGATCGTCACTTTCCAGGGTTTTTCCAGGGATACTTTGTTGGTATCGTTTACATTTTTTCTGCTTGTTCCACATACATACATACATACGTTTTTCCACTGCTTTACTAAATTATGTAGAGTCTTCCCTTTACATCGCGTGTGGTGACTTTAATAGGCTTGATGTCAATTTCTGGACTACCCTTGGACTACAGAGCGTCGTTAATTTTCCGACCGGACTCGAGATCTGTCTCGATCTCGTTAACGACCTGAGTCTACTTAACGTGCGCAGCCGTTCCCCTGTTGGCACCTCTGATCATACGATACTGAAACTATCTCCCGTGATCCAGAACTAGTAGAACTGATCCTCAATTATGTACTTGGATCCCGGTAGTCGATTTCGTCGCCATCAAGGTCAGCCCGAAAACCTAGCCAGACTGAGAGATATATCAGATCAAGCAGGTTTCTTTCTAATTGTACGTAATGGCCGTTCAATCGTCTATGATAAACTGGCTGAATATCTGAAGGTCTGTTATGATACGTGGGAAACTTTATACGTACGGTTGTACCGTTTTTCGTCCCCTACACCTAAACTATTACGTTGGAAGAAAGAACAACCTCTCAAGACCAAAAAGCACTCTTTGGTGAGAGAACTCTCGGAAGCAGTTTTCTGTAGCATGCGCTCCCAAATGCACTCCAATTCGATTGGTTAAACGGATGGAATGCTGCCGAAAACAAAGCGGGTAGTCTTTTTTTTGGGGGGGAGAGGGATACAAAACCGGAACTTCCAGTTAGCTAAAGCCTGTTAGGTAAAAAAAAACTGTTTTTACCTAA